CCGAGCGCTGCCAAAATCGGTTTATAGCCTTTGAAGCCCAGTGTGTGTGCACATCTCCAGGCATATGTTTAGCATATATTGTGTATGTATAGACCCTAGGGTTCAACCCTCATTAAAAGAAAGGTTGACCCAACTTGGATGATGACAATCCAAGTTGAACAATGGTGGCTATATGAGCCCGCATACTGTGGATGGACAAAATCCTGCACCGCGTAAGACACCCTCGAATGATGATTGGCCTGTAAATACCCAACAAACAATGGCTTCCCTTGGTTTCAAAGTGGTGCAGGAATCCGTGCATCCACAGTAGCTTTAATGGTGGTTTGAATCCCAGGGTAGACATTTAGTCATGCATATATATATAGAAATGTGTATCCATGTATGTTGTGTGTTTTTTCTTGGTATATATATATATATGTCGATATGTAAATCAACATACAAATGAGCCTCTGTATGTGTGCATGGGTTCATATGTTATAATATAGATATGGCCTTACAAAGCAAACCCGATATTTTAGTGCAAATACGCGTCATTGATGCTTTTTGGGGCGCAAAAGCCACTACAGCAAACCACTACGAGCAGGCTGAAATCCATTCAGCTGTGCGTGTCGCGAATCGGATTTTCACTTGCGTCCCCTAGGCCAGTTCATGACATTCCCTGGGAAAAAAAGCACAGCTTGAACGCAACTAAAATGCAATGAACCCATTGAAACACACCTAGTTGTTAGAAATGCTGGAAACACGTTCTGTTCTGGAATATCCCGGCAACATCAAATGAGCAGTGTTTTTTTGGTGGTTCGAGGCCTATACACTACTTGCATGCCTACGCGAAGGCCTACGCAAACTTACGCGGCCTGCGAGGGGTGCCTACGCGAGCACAAGTCAGCTTCCAGGTGCCTACGCGAATGCCTACGCGGGCAAATGTTGAGTTCGAGTGTCGAAGTGCACTGTGGCAGCTCCAGCTGGAAAATCGCAACTTTTCAGTACAAGTGCAGTTTTGGCAACTCCGGCTCTAAGATCAGAATTGCAGTACAAGTGAGAAGCCCGCATCTGTCCAAGGATCTGGCTGCCAGAAAAGGTGTACGTACCCAAAATGCCTTGAAAGCCTACGCGAATGCCTACGCGGGGCCTACGCGGAGCCTACGCGAAGACTCCAGAACAAACAGAAGGAAGGCAAAAGAAGCAAATTCATTTATACTTGGCAAACAGCACTGAGTCATGATTTGTTCAACAAACGCCTACGCGAAAAGCCTACGCGAGGGGTGACACAACAGCCTACGCGCTGAAGCCTACGCGAGCCTACGCCCCCAACCAGGATTGCCTCCGCAAAGTACATGCAGTTCCCTTTTTGTATAAACCCTTTCATTTGATTAAAAAACGCTGCTCAAATGGTTGCTTCTTGATAGCAACTGAAACTCATTGTGTGTCACAAACAAGGTCTATGTCCAGTTCTCGCACTCGAACGATCTCAGCTTCTTAATCACATCTCAATTAGCATGAGTTGCGGTGGTGCACTTGCTACACATCGGGAATTTGCCGAACCAATGAGAATTCAACGCGTGGTCTACTTGAGACAACTCAAGTTGACGGCTGGCCAGCTCTGGAGAAGCCTGACATCCGTCCGGATTTGTTCAAGCTCGCACAGAAGAGTTGGTGGTCCTCCATTTGCCTAAGACGCCATGGAAAAGCAACATCTACATTTCCAGTGAAATCGATTCCCTTTAAAACCAACCGGGGAAAACAAACACAAATCTTCATTTAATTTCGCAAATGGACGTGGGTCCTGTTGGTCTCCGAGCTAAAGGTTCGCCCCGTTGAGCCGAGACCGCAGTAATCAACATGAAACTCAGAAGCAGCCTGAGCTTGTGAAGGGCAAAGCCATAGGTGACCTTTGGGTTATGAAACCCATCTAAACCAGTGGAATCCATCTATTTCGAACCAAGCCTAAAAAGGACACCTATGGGCTATAGCTAATATTTGTCGGTCGCCAGTTCTACACCCCAAAAAATGCCTTATGGGAAGCAACCCGCTGAAGGTCTCATTCAATCACACCCCTGCATTGAACAGAACTCTGACAACAAATGGAGGTGTGGGCAAGTGGATTCCCACTCGATGGTTTCCACTACCCCGAAACTCCTAGGAAAAAAAGGGTATATGTAATGTATCCTTTATATATATATATATATATGTATGAAGTAGCTGAAAAGAAAACCAAAAGGATACCAACCATTTTTAGGGGACCCCTGTTTTGAGTAACACGTCAGTTGTAAATCCCATGAAACCCTCTGGTGGTTTGGGGACCATCTCCACTCGCGACGGCGAAAGGGCGCGCGAGCCGCGGCGCCTTCGACGGACCTCTAAGGCGAATCCAGCCATCCAAGAGCTCCGAGGGGGAGAGCGTGCCCGTCTCGTCAACGTCCAGCAGCCTGAGGTTTGAACTGAAGGTAGTTGGAGGTTTGTCCCTTTACAGGTCTGGATTTGCCTGTCAATTTAGGGGTTTGCGCATTTGGAGGTCTGGGAACTTTTCCAAGTCAATCGTTGCAATTCTCTGGGTTCCAGTGAACCTGCCACTTTTTAAGGCTCCGAAAGGGGCAAATTGAGGAACTGTCTAACAGGCACAAGGTGGCACCAACGAGGGGGGTAATAGTGTTGACCCGCCCTATTTGATGTGTCAAGATAGCACCAATCAATGGAGAACTCAACCACAATGGGTGCCAACGGGATAGCCTTTACACAACAAGCACGTACGGCTCCGCCTTTCTATTTCTTTTCCGTTATCTGGCGTGCTTTTTCTCTTTCCGGCCTCTTCCATCCAATCCAGCCGGGTTCACCATTTTCCTTCCCTTTCGTTTACTCGGGAAATGGTAAGAGAGAGAGAGAGCCTAAGGGACGAAGCGAGACAGCGGTGAGTGAGGGAATGGCTCGCCTCGTTCTTTCTCTTCCCTTTTCTTTTCGTCTTTCCGGCTGCGGCTACCTCGTGTTCACAGGCACCAAGTTGGAGTGTGGAAAATTAAGTGAACATGGTTGATGCCAAGAATCGCGGAAAACCACTCCTAGCCCGGAAAGAAAAACATGGGCCACAGCCGAGCGCCTCTCAAAACACAACAAAGAACCGATAGAATGATCTTATGACAGTCATACAGCCACAATATGGCCATGGGTCAAAATCCCGTACCCCCAGTGAACATCCCAATCCCCGCTGGGTGCTGCACCTACCCCAAAATGGTACCATTGGTTTTGACCCACGGGAAGGGCTTTCGCCTTTCATTCCTTCTTCCCCCTTCATAAAAACGTTACGGCCGATGCGATTCTCGGCACGCGAGGTGAGCTGATGGAATGGCCGGATGGGACTGATCTGGAGCTAGTCGCTTCGGGCCGGTCGGGGTTTGGGGTTGGGGTTTGGCATTGATTTTGGACCATCCAGACCTAAAAACACCGTTAATAAGGGGAACCAACAAGGAGATTGACACTACTGGTAGCCGGGTTTCTCGCAGCAAGGCCAATCAATGAACCCCCGGTAACCCGAGACCACCCGAAAACCGCCTGACAACCACCCTAAAACAGCCCGAAGCAACTTCAACTGCCCACAAGTCTGGTTTGTCCCAAAAAAAAAGTGTTTAACCGTCCAGACACAGGGAAAAGAAGGGTGTTTTTTTTCACCAATAGGTGCTTAAGCCTTTGAAAAGGAGTTGGCCAATTGGAAGTCGAGCCGCGAGCCGATCGAGGCTCAGGAGTCAAAGTTCCAATCAGCTTGCAAAACATCCCTTTGCAGAGTCCTGTTGTCTCCAAATTACGCCCCGAAGCAGCTCGAAGTCTCCGAAGTATCCCTCCCAAAGCTCCCAGGAACCCCCTCCGAAAGTTCAATGGCTTCGGAGTCAGCGCGACTCGCCTGAAAAGACTCTCCGCATCATTGACGTCCACGTCCACCGCCTGAAACTCACTGCGACAGGTCTTCCCTGCATGACAGCGGGGAACTCGGGCGGTGAAAAGACCAAAATCAAAATGGAATGGGTGTGGGTCAAAAAAAGGTACCGCAACTGGAACCCTGGTAAATGGAAAAAAGGACTCAAATCCGTGGTGTCCTGGTGGTTCAATTTTGACCCAGACCCGAATCTGACCAGCGAGGGGCAACTCGGATGCTTGTTGATTCACAAGGCTTTCTGTTCGATCCCTGAGCTCGGGTTTCCGATGACAGTTGGGCGACAGCAGATGCCACAACTTCCCTCTGTTGGTTTAGTCACCTCGTTTACCCACACCTACTTTCACCCTGGTTTCGTCATTCAAGTGAGACCCCAACATCCTATTCCTTTGGATCGTGAGATGAAACCAAAAGTCACCAAGTTACCTCAAGCAAAGGCAAAGGTGGAAACACGAGACCGCGGCGCCCTTTGGCTGAGAGTTGAGAAGGTTGCACAGTATATCACTACCCCACATGCAAGCGCAAGACCTAGACCACCTGATCTTGAGACCAGACCAAGGACCACTAAACCTTGGCCATGGGCTGCACAAACAATATATAGCTTCATGTTTAGGCTACCCATTATTATTGATACCAGTAATAAACACAATGATAGTAATAGTGATAATAATCAAAATAAGAATAATAACACTAATAATAACAACACTGCCACATAACAATCATAATAACTACTTTTCTCATGGTAGCAATGATCATCACGTTTTGGAGACCAACCCAGACACCGGGCAACACCGTCCGTCCGTTGCTCCGCCGCCGCGGCTTCCGTCGCGCCAGAAGTCGACGCGCCCGCCTGGAAGAGCTCTCTCAGCTCCCGGGTCTCCAACATGCGCTGGAACTCCTCCAAGGTGAGCTCATCCTTCCTGGGCTCACGGCCGGATGCGAGAGCTCAACGTCGGTATGGGACCCCCAAACCGGTGGGTTTCCGTTACCTGACCTTGACCGCCACCAAAATGGAAGCACAATCGACAACAATCCCAGACGCCATGCAGAGAGATCTCATGGCTTCGGACCTTGGGACCTGTGGGAAGTTTTGAGAAAAACCCCCCGAGGTTTAGGGGGACCCAACCCTATTCTTTCCGGAGGCCATGAGATCTCAACATGGCGTGGTATCTGAACCCCCCCGAGGTTTGGGGGACCAGCCATGATGTGCCCTGAGATCTCAACATGGGTTTCGGACCTTCGGTTGGAATTGTTGAAACCCCCCAGGTTTAGGGGGACCAACCATAGTGGGTGATGTACAGATCTCAACTTGGCATGGTTGTCGGACCTTCGCTTGGGAAATTGAACTTTTCCTAGTTTGGGGGAAACCACCCATATTTGGTGAAGTATGTGTATATATATATATATATGTGTTATTTGTTTGGGGGGGAGAGGGGTGGTCTGGAAAAATGATTCTACACAAAACACCCATCCCTCTGTGGTAGTTTCGGAAGGGTCAGGTCCGCAAAAAAACGCCCGCAGCCCGCATTCCCAGTCACAAATCACTGAGCTTCCAACCGGGCGCCTCCCAAATTCACCCCCCCCCCCCGCACCCAGTGAGATATGAGCCACTGTCAAACATGACTCGTTTCCCCAAGAGGACAATAGGACATTTTCACCGAATTGGCCTTTCTGGAATCAACCGCAAAAGGAAACGCAAGATCTACTCATCTGTCTGTTCACCTGTGCCTTGTCAACAATGCGGATGGTTTTCGGGCGCATGAAGCGCTCACAGCGGTTTTTGCCTTCTCCATACCAAACCAATGAGGACACGCAGAAATATGGTCCACGTCTTAGCTTTTGCTGGCCAGGTTCTCATTCAGAGCGCTCTTGGTGAAGAGGTTTAGGACATGGCTCACGACATAGTTGTCCTTATCCTCTCGCGAGAATGCCGCAGCATTCTCCACGAAGATACCTGCGAAGGCAGGCAACCATCTTGTCCTAACGCAACTGACGAACTGACGGGTTGTCAACATGACTGCCTGCTAGCGGGGCATGCTTCAAAAACAATCCCGGCCCCTTCTCGTTTTGGACTTGGGAAACCACACCTAGAACCCCCCAAAAAAACAACTGGCATGGCCTGTGATGACATTCATCATCGCCAGCACTGAGAAGGCCACGTAGGCGGTGATGAAGGCTCCCATCAACGGGGACACATCCTGAGGCCGGTTGGGAGGAGGCTTGAAATTTGGGTCTCTACGCTTGGATGTTCGGGCCAGAAGAAGTGCGACTTCACCATGGTTCCATACCTCCAGTTGCTTTTCGGCCCAAGAAAAATGAAAGAAAATCTGACCAGTGGTGAAATCGATTCCCTTGAAAACCCACAGAGGGTCTCCCTGCCCCAATTCTATCGGAGGTGGCTTTCGAGGATGGGCCCAGCAAGCTGTCATCGAACTTTGATAGGATCGAGAAAGAGGTTCATACTCAATTCGCACAAACAAAAACATGGGTGGACACCATAACACTTTTACAGGGGAATCGAATTGGTCAAGGGCTTCTGGAACGGTGGTGCGAACGGATTTCGTCCATCCACTGTAGGTCAATCAGACCAAGAGCCATAGGTCGATGAGAACATGCAGGATTCCGGGTTTATTTTGAAGAACTCAACAGGGTCCCATGGGATCATAGCTTCTCCGAAGAACAGGGATTCACGCAGCGTGGAAGAGGTCTATGAAGGTTGCCATCAAGTGAGTGCTTCTCCATATGAGACCGGTATAATCATGTTTCCGCTGGTTTCACTTTCAACCCCCGTTGATTTCTCGTGTCGAAAATGCAAAAACTGTCAAGTCCTCTCTGGCTCGCAGTTTTCCGCAAACGTATCTTGCCATGACTGAATATTGCTGACACGCCTCAAGAGATCGCTCCCCTTGATTCCCTTCAAAACCATCCCGAAAGCAGGGGGGTGAGACCCACTTTTTTCTGGAATGGGCCTGGCGACCTCCATTCCCGAAAGTTTCTGCCCGCTTCTCTCGTCTCTAGTGACTTTCTTTCCCCGTAACCAAGGGAACCACTGGTTAAGCCACACGGAACATGGAGGTGTTTTGTTTGCTATACTGGCTTTGCCTGGGATCCACTACGCTGTGAAACCTTGACCACATGCAAACTGAGAACGATAGACTTGAACAATGGCTGTTGGAGAGGTGGACCAAGAATAGAAAGTCACGCAGAGGCAAAGCAAGACTTGGTTGCTTTCTGCTCCCCTGCTAAAAGTTGAACTTTGGTGGTTTAATGGAATACCCATGAGTTGGCAAAAGTTAAAGTCCTAACATCCAAGGAAAATGCAACAAAGAAGAGCACGTTGACACGGGCAAGACCGGGCTGAGAGTCGTTGATCAGCGGATCTGCCACGTTCTTCCAGTCGATGCCACCGGTGATGCACATCCAAAGGGTGATCGCGGCTGTGCCGAGACCTCAGCAAACCAACCGACACATGTGGCATGTGGCAATGGCTTCTCGGTCGAAAGGAATCAATCGGCCAATTTTGCTATAGCACCGAAAGCTGAATTAACAATTGGATCCCCAAGTAAAGGACCTTTATATTGGTGAGCTCGTTTTAATCCCAGGTGAGCTCGCTCTTCTGCACTTGTTTATACCAAAGGAGCTTCATTGTGATCTCAAAGCTCCCACCTGTACCATGTACACTCATGGGCAGGGAACCAATTTGCACGCTCGCCTCTTGAATCATCTCAAGGATCTCTTGGGGGCGACCTATTGGCTTGGCTAGTGCAGTTGAAGCCCCCCAAGCGCTCCTTGCATTTCTCTGAGTTTCGGCAATGGTAGCTGAGTCACTTTGACGCGATGATAGCTGACTTACTTTGACGCAGTTTCAGGCCAGGGTCAAACACCCCATGCACTGTCGCTACCAGGCTTCTTGGTTGCCACTCCCGAATGGGGTTGTCAGCATCCTTCCAAACCCCAAGGCACTTGGCCCGTGTCATATTAGAAGTGCACCTGGGTAGGAGACCAAAACTTTGGTCCTTTGGGGGAAATGGACAATTCTGGTCTATTTGCTTGCTGCTCAACTGAGAAATGGAACTAGGTCCTCCAGTAGAGAGGTTCGAATAAGGGTACCAAACTTTTTCTGTAGTCTATCTTAGTGGAACCCTCCCAACCACAGGGGTGAGAAAGCCTTGGGGGACCTAGGGAATGAGCCCCCGTTTTCAGGACGCTCCGCTTCTTTTTGTTCGCTCACTCCGAGGCGTGGGCTGCAGAAGTAGAGGTCCAGCGCCGCCACGGGCTCCCCCGAGTGGTCGGCCCGGAAGTGATTCGCGCTCTCGGTGAGCGTCACCTGCGCACGCCGCCGTGTCGGAAATTCACGTGGACGGCGATTCTCTTGGTCTCAGTTTCCAAGGAAAGCCCAAAGGAAATCACTCAATTCTTGGGCGCCCCTCTTTTGTGGCACATAGCCATGTCGCTCAAAGCTAACTAGGCAAACAAGTATGCTAAATAGATCAAATGTTCATCCCCTCGTAGCTTTCTTTTGGGAAGCTGTTCACATGGGCATTAGCACCAAGAAACGAGGCCCAAATTTGTTCTGTTCAAAAGGCGACAGCAATGTGGTCTAGCCAATGAGGATTCCAAGCAGGTTCCGGGAAGGTTCCAGGCTGGAATTTCTGGGGCGGGTAGCGTCCAAACAACAGCCTCTAGTTTGCAGAAATAGCCATCCTTGTACATAGCCCTTGGACAGTCTAGGAGGGCCATGAACCTTGACTGTCCTCCAATACCAGTCTCCGTAACTCCAAACCCAGAATAAACCAACAACCCTACACCAACTCTGACCACCCTGAACCAAACCTCATCCACCACTTCGCATAGGGAACTAAAACCCGAACATGCATGCCGTGAGTTATGCAGAAGTTCTCTCATGATCATGGGATCCAAGGCCACCGCTGGCGCAAGGCGAAATGTTGGAGCTATGAACAACTTGTTGGATTGCCAGCGCCAGTCCCGGGGCCAAGTGTGGCAGTGTCACTTGTCAAACTCTGAAACTTCAAATGGGGTATATATGGGTGTGTCTTTTGTTTAGAGAACCCCTTGTTTCTCTGATTTCCTTTCCTGGGTCCTCCAGTAGAGAGGTTAGAATAAGGGTGCCCTTCTTTCTGTAGCCTATTTTAGTAGGGGAACCCTCCCCCAAGAAAGGGGTGAGAAAGGGCACCTAGCTGGGGGACCTAGTGTTGGTTGTCCTTTCAAGCCACCTCAGAAGGGGTACTGAGCGTCAACAAAAAGAGACGAGCCCCCCCATATTAGTCATCATGAGTATACTTCGGGGCCTTAGGCGTAGTCAAGTCAAAAAAATCACCTGCCACCCGGGGTTCTGTACTCCCCGTGTGGGTGTCTCTTTTTTGGAGACCCCTTTTGCTTGGTTTTAAAGGGAAGCCAAACCAAAAGGAAAATCACCATTTTGGGAGTCGCCTGAAAAAAAGAGAGACAGGTGTCAATGGCGTTTGTCCTGTCCAAACTTCCATGGATCTTAAACAGCACACACACACACACACGCCCATGTCCACGCCCTCATCTCAAGGGTGTGTTTTCACAGAGCCTGTCGCAACGAAGCGCCTGAACAACCCTCCCAACGCTCCATGCAAGATTGGTCATATACTTTCATAGGTCAAATCATTCACAACAAACTCGTAGCCTCGTATATGGTCAAGGGTTCGCAAGCCCCCCCCCCCTCCGCCCCCCATGGATCCCAGTCCTACCCGTAGTGTGGTTTAGGGTTGGTTTATGGTTGGTCTAAGACCACCCCCCCCTGTGGTGGGGTTGTAGTGGTTTAGACTTCGTTTAGGGTTGATCTAGTTGTAGTGGTTTAGGATGGTTTAGGGTTGGTTTAGAGTGTGTTTAGTGTCGGTTTAAAATATGTGTTTAGGGTTGGCTTAAGGTTGGTTGGTTTTAGGTTGGTTTACGGTTGATTAAGTTGGTTCAGGCTTGGTTTAGCGTGTGTTCAGAACGTGTCAAGCGTTGGCTTAAAGATGTGTGTTTCAAGCTAGTTTAGGGGTGGTTTAGGGTTAGTTTGGGCGCAGGGCGTGCCGCGGTGTGGGTCCA